AAAATTAGATTTTTTTATTGTATTTTTGAAAATAAATTTTACGAAATTATTTTTAAAAATATTAAAAAAAATTTTTATATATATTTTTTAAATTGAAATTATAATTTTGACATCCCATAACATAAAGATATCTTATTGAAGACTAAAACATAATCAAAATTGTAATTTTTTGAAAAAATTATATTCAAAAATAATTTTTATGAAAATTTATTTGAAATAGTTTTAAAATTAAATAATTTTTTGAAATTTTAAAAATATTCAAAAAAAAAATTGATAAAAATATGAAATAGTTAAAATAAAATTTTAAGAATAACTATTCAAATGAAATTTTCATTTGAAACTTTTATCAAAAAAGTTTTTGTAAATTCTTTTTATTCAAAATTATATAATATTATAAAAATCATTTTAAAAAAAACAAAACGAAATATCCACAATTGATTAATTATTTTCATTAAAAATACGAATAAAGTGGTATAGGTATTCAAGTATCCATAGAATGTATATACAAGTATAAATTTTGAAGTATACGTAAGTATGAGTTCGGATATGACAATTTTTTAAAACCGTAGAGGACATGTATTATAATACTCTACCTAAACCATTTATGTTTTCTGGTATGTGTTTTATTTGGATATATAATATGTTTGAGGAACAAAATACAATTTAGAGTTTTAAATTAAATATAATATAGAGACTATATTGTTTATTTTTTTATTATTATTATGAGGGACTAAACTTAGTTCCATCACATGACAAGTAGACAATATTGTGAAAGAGTGAACTTACATATGGATTAAGACATCACATACCAGAAAGAAGAAAAACAACAAAACAATTTTGTATGGTTGTTCATTTACAGACTAATATATTCCGATTTACTTTTATTAGAAATTAAAATTTAACTTATTTGATGTCAGGATCTGATTTCTTTTTTATAAATGACTAAAATAACTCTTCTCTCTGGAAAAAATTATGCATCATTTCATTTCATCATTAACTATATCATATACTGATATTCAATTTTTTTTAGAACAAATTTGGTGCTCTGACTGTACTAATTTTTATTTATTACTCCCATCTAATTAAATCATATTAAAGTTTCATGTTTTAAAAACATTAAAATATATGTCTAAGTATTTATGTTCAATTTGATTGCATGTAAGATTAAAAATTAAATTAAATTAAATTGTCTATTTATTGAAATAAATTCCATTTATTTATAAGATCGTATAATTTCAAATACATTTTAAAGATATAAATGATAGGATAAAACAGTGATTTTTATACGATGTTAGTGGAAATTTAGTCCACACAGATAGCTGCATAGTTAAACCTAAGTGTAAATTATTCAAAAACTATTTTAAGTGTTTCATGGTAAAACAAATTCGACTCTCATGACATGTCTGTTTTATTTGTATATTTTTGGGAGAGGAGTCAAAATTATTCAAAAATTATTTGAAGTGTTCTTATTATGGATGCAAAACACGTTCGACTCATTGATCATGTTCATTTTATCTTTTTTTTTCACGAGACGAATCAAGACTTTTGACCTGAAGATCAAGACTTTTGACCTGAAGTTTCTAATATAGTCACTCCGCTCCACTTTTCGGACAAGGTCCGTTTTTTCACGAGACGAATCAAGATTTTTAGCCTGAAGAGACGAATCAAGATTTTTAGCCTGAAGTTTCTAATCGCTCTGCTCCGATTTTTTAGGCAAGGACATTAACTAGAATTTTAATAATTTTTAGCTTTTTTATAATTTTTTAGCTTTTAAGTGTGTAAGATACGCATGTCCGCCCTACCCTCATTTTTTTTTCTGGACGGATCAAGATTTTTGATTCACATTCTCAACTATACCCGTTAAATTATTTTAGTTGATAGTTATATATGCACAGCAGATTCTAGGACGCCGTAACACTCCCGCTTATTAAGTTTAAGTATACCAAAAAAAAAGTTATTTAAAGTATATATTCAACAGCATTGAATTTCATACCTATTTTACTTGTACTTTCTATATATCACCAAATATACACATGATATATAAAGAATTTGTTACCATTACAAGGTGCATCAAACACACCTCAAGGACACCTACATCAGACTATAATGTTGGCCTATAAAAAGGAGTTCCCTCTTCAAATTGTCTTCTCAACTTTTCATTTCTTTATGGTCTACTAAACCTTTCATTCTTCTTCTATACCCTGCCTCACAAAAACAAAATATTCAAGCAAATCATGGCATTAAAACTTTTTGGTTTCTCAAAACATGTCATATTTTCATTCATCAAAATCACTATACTTTTAATTCTTAATTTTATGATTAAGAAAGCAGACTCAGGCTGTAACAATTCTGTTATAACTTCAATAACTCCAATTCAACACTGTGAAATCCTCACATCATTACAATCACAATCCTTTGATGGTCACTTGAGCTTACAGGACAATGAATATGCTGCTAAGGACTTTGGTAACATACATCATTTTCCTCCTCTAGCAGTGTTGCACCCGAAAACCGTTTCAGATATTTCACGTACTATAAAACATGTTTTCGAAAAAGGGTCTAATTCAGAGATGAAGGTAGCTGCTAGAGGCCATGGACATTCCCTTCAAGGTCAGGCACAAGCACATCAGGGACTAGTCATCAAAATGGAGTCATTAAAGGGTCCTGAAATGAAAATTCAGACTGGCGAATTTCCTTATGTGGATGTCTCAGGTGGTGAGTTGTGGATAAACATTCTGCGTGAGACTCTTGACTATGGATTGGCACCGAAATCTTGGACAGATTATCTTCATCTAACAGTTGGAGGCACTCTTTCGAACGCTGGAATAAGTGGACAAGCTTTTAAGCATGGACCTCAGATCAATAACGTCTTCCAGTTGGAAGTTGTCACAGGTACTGCTCAAACAGAATCTAAGAAAGGGTTGGTCTTGTTTTAGTCTTTTTTTATAAAGATGAATGAGAATATTTGTTTCCTTTTTGCATTGCAGGAAAAGGAGAAGTTGTTACCTGCTCAGAAAATCAAAATGCTGACCTTTTTCATAGTGTTCTTGGAGGACTTGGTCAATTCGGCATCATCACCAGAGCTAGAATTTCTCTTGAACCAGCACCAAAGATGGTGAGTATACGGTACCAGTGTACCCTCATTCTCTAATATGAAAGTACAGAAAAAAGTTTCCAAGAATATACCTTTTATGACATAATCTGTGACATTTTACAGGTGAAATGGATTAGGGTCCTCTATTCAGATTTCTCCACATTTACAAGAGATCAAGAATATTTGATATCACTTAAGGACACATTTGATTATATTGAAGGATTTGTAATCATAAACAGAACCGGCATCCTTAATAGTTGGAGATTATCTTTTGACCCTAAAGATCCACTTCAAGCCAGCCAATTCAGTTCAGATGGAAAGACTTTTTACTGTCTTGAGATGGCAAAATACTTCAAACCTGATGAAGCCGAAGTCATGAATCAGGTAAGACAAAGACACACCTACAAAAACTTATTCACCGTGGATGTTTGAATTGACCGTGAGTTTGACGAAATCACAGTGCCACTCTGATTTCGCTATTCTCACTGTTAACTTAAACATGCACTCAACCTCAGCAGCTAAAAAAAGGGATAGTTTTTTTTTCACATTTAAATGCAGGGTGTTGATCAGCTACTGTCAAAATTGAGTTACATTCAACCCACACTGTTCCTGTCAGAAGTTTCTTACGTGGAATTTTTGGACAGAGTGCATGTTTCTGAGATGAAGCTAAGAGCAAAAGGACTATGGGATGTTCACCATCCTTGGCTGAATCTTCTGATCCCAAGGAGTGAAATTCATGACTTTGCAAAACAAGTATTTGGCAATATTCTCAAGGACACAAGTAATGGTCCCATACTCATCTACCCTGTCAACCAAACAAGGTATCTATCAAGTCTTAGCTTGACACACTTTATGACTCCAGTTAGTACATGTTTGGATTTACCTTTTTGAGTATATATTTTTGTATGTAACTTATTTTACGAGACCAAAGTGAAATCTAAAAAACACTTAAAGGACAGGGTCGGCTACATAGATCAACTGCGTCTTATCCCATGCTTCTAAAACACACTTAAAGGACCAAAAAGTTAATTTAACCTTGTTATCTCCGAGTTGAAGTATAACTTGAAGATAGATACATGAAAAAAATAGTAATTTTGGCCTCGAATTCTTTGACCAACGCAATTTTCGATTTGTTTTTTCAGGTGGAACAGTAAAACATCATTGGTCACCCCAGAGGAAGATGTTTTCTACCTAGTGGCATTCCTAACATCAGCAATCCCATTTTCCAGTGGTGAAAACAGTTTAGAATACATTCTAAACCAAAACAGAAGGATCTTAGATTTCTGCAGCCATGCCAAACTAAATGTGAAGCAATATCTTGCTCATTACACCACACAGGAAGAATGGCAAACTCATTTTGGGTCAAAATGGGGGGCCTTTGTGGAAAGAAAAAGAGCCTATGACCCACTAGCACTACTTGCCCCTGGCCACAGAATCTTTCAAAAGGAAGGGTCTACCTCCATTTAGTTTTAGAATGTAAGGTTGTGAATTATTGATTAATAATAACCTTATAAGTTTCCATGCTCTTAATAGTTGTAAATTTGTAAGCATGGCCATTGAATTCACACTTCAAAAAGAAATGGATGATGATTGCTTTCGGGTCATAACTACAAGACTGACTAAGAAAAACACCAGCAATGAGCTAGTGGGACTATGAACATTTGGAAGAGCTTTTCCAAAGCTTATTTCTACTTCTCATGTGACATTACAGATTACTCCAACAAATAATAGTAAAAGACCAACAATATTTACAAGAAAATAGTTGCATAGTATTTTTTAACAAGATTTTTTTTTCTGATATTACATGACTCATTGAGTTTAACAAGGACTAGTTAAGAAGATAAACACAAGATTATCGCCCTAGTTAAAAACATGCAATTATAAGTGCTTACAACATAGACAATAATTATCCGTCCTTAGTCGCACCAGTCCAACCAAGTCCGGGCCTGCTTACTTCTCCCTGTGGTTCCTCATAGTCTCGTGCATCACGGATTGAAGCTTCAAAGTCAGTTGAATCACCTGCAACAGGGAGAAAGCTACCGATATCATCTCTAGCACCAAATCCCCCAGCCCGGATAACATCATCAGGTGTTATGGATGCCTCCATGTTAACATCCCCAGATAGATCTTTTTCCTTTGGACAATTTTCTCGGCCTTCCGAGTTACCTGCCTTTGTCTCTTCAATATCGCCAGAGGCTCTTGTAAAATGTTTTAAAACATCTTTTCCGTCATCAATCTTAGAAAGATTGGTGTCAGTGGATAAATCCTTTACTGGTGTAGTGCTACCATTTTTGTCTGGAGCATCATAACATAACCATTACATCAAATGAAAATAATCAAAAAGAATTAAAGTGCAGAATTACTAGGTGAAGATAATCTTATCAAGTAAAAATCCACTTCCACGTTATCTCTAGAGTAGTTTAGAACAACTTCAAATAAATATATCATGCAACTAAAGACTATGCACTTCCTACTACAAAAGGTTAAATAAAGTGCACACATGCTTGAGTGGATGAAAAAATTTATAGGCTTTTGAAAAAACTGTTATGTTTCAGTAGACCAAATGATTTGGTGAAACTGCTCTAACATGCTGAGGGTACAGTTGAACAGAAGTAGACCAAATAATTGAAGATAATTTTGAATCAAGTACAAAAGATTTCCTTCAAGAGTATATAGTCTCGGGATGAGTGAATAGTATACAATATGGACTGCATCTTAGTGCTTTGGCATGCTTCACTCATTGATTCTATTATTTTCTTCATAAATAAATTTGATTCCTTTATTTCAATTGCGATGCTATCAACCAATTTTCAAGGCTTTATTACTTCCCAACTTTAATATACTTTGTTAAGAGTTCCACATCAAACAATTTTTAAATTACTATTGGTATCACTGTGTCAGTGTCGGAGTCGTGCGGTTTGATCATGTTCTTATAAGTGTGCCAACCCTCACCCTAAAAGCCGGTTTTCGAGGATGAGTTAGGTCTAAAGCACATGTCTAGTAAGAGAGTGTGTTAAGAGTCTTACGTCGGAGAATATATGGTGTAGACATTTGTCTTAAACTAGTAAATTGAGTACATGATTTACATTCTGCAACTAACTAAACATAAGAGTAAGATGTAGTTGGTAGCGACATTTGGGTTATTCCATACAAAAGGCTACTAGACTGTAAAAAAAAGTAAAGAAAGTAAAATGAAACGGAGGGAAAGTAATTGAATTGAGGTTGATATAAGATAAAGTAATTAATTATAGCAGCCACCTTGCATCATTTTATCTGATTGGTATTCAATTGCATTCCTGTTTCAGTTATGAAATCCTTGACCTGCAAAATAATTCAATAATAATAATAATGTGGTTGATGTTGTTGGGTAGAAAAAGGAGGAAAAAGGAGTAGTATAGTAGTGTAGTACCTTAAATAAATGATTGAAAGTGAAGGGAATATGAGAGAAGAAGAAGCGTGAGCGAAGGAAAAATCAGATTCTGGAATTGCTGTGAGTGTGTATGTGTCAAGTTCGGCGACAGAACAGAACACGACACGTGTGTCCTACACTGCGTTTTGGCAACGCTGGAGATCCTCTCTCTTTTGTTTTATCATACCTGCACCACTTCAGGGGGTCGATTTACACTTGTTTTTACATTTATAATTACTTATTGGATACACACGGATTTGTTTTTAAAATATAAATAAATAAATAAAATTGTTTTACAAAAATAATTTATTATTTTAAATATATATATTTTTAAAATAAAAATAAAATTGTTTTATCATAATTATTTTACATCAATAATATATTTTTTAATTTTTCTTATATTATTTTAAAAAATATTATATTTCAAATTAAAAATAATTTTAAAATAAAAATATTAATAATATAAATAATTTATTTTTTCCGTGTTTGAATTAAAAAATAATTTTAAATATATTTATTTTAATTTTCTTTAAATATACATAGAATGTTAGAACACGTGTGTCCTCACGAATTCTGATCTAAATACTCGTGCGTTCTTAGAGGTACTGGTGTGATACGTTTTTTTTTAATAAAGACTTATATTAAATTCAAAAAAAAACCAACAAGATACAAGGTGTCGCTATGATCCAGCCCAACAACAACAACCAAAAGAACAAAAGGAAGCAAAAATTAAGAAAGCATTAGCTTCACTATCTTATCCTTCAAAGACTTACGGTGTCACCCCCTGATAACTATTATGTCAATAATAGCCTTAAGCATGTGATTATAGTCTAACACATTACCAAAAAACAAGCACTATTACGATAAAGCCATGAACCATAAACTGTCTCAGTAATAGTCAATCTAAGCAGATAAAATTTCCACCTTTTGCCTTTACCATGCTTGGTAATCTAATCAAGCTCCTCCTCCCAGCACTTAGGCCGATGCTGAAAATGGATCCAATCTAGAACACCACACTAAATTTTCCTAATGTGATCTTACTAAAAAAAAACAGATGGGATATAGTTTATTCCTTAGAACAAAAGGTACATGTGTTATCAGCAAGAAAATCAAGTCTATAAAGCCTACTCTTTGTTACAAGTTTCTTGTGACAAGCCAACCAAAAAACAACCAAGGCTATGGGTTATGCAGAAGAAAACCACTCCAAGGCACAACTTGATTATCTAATAAGGACAAATAGCATATCTTCATGTTAAACTTCCCTTTGGAGCACATATCATTCCAAATGTTAAGATTCTGTTGAACAAGAATCTGCTGCTCCAAGATTTTCCTCATAATCCAAGTGCTACACGCTTTAGCTTTGATATCCATGATGCTTTGACTTTTCAAGTAATAAGAGTGGACCCATTTCACCCATAAACTATCGGGCTTGTTGCTAATATTCCATAAAAGCCTAAACATGGTGCACTTATTCCAAGTGATTAAATCAATGATACTTAAGCCATCCTGCTTAAGAGACTTACAAACTTTAGCCCAAGCAACCAGACTTTTCCTGCAAATATTATCCTTCCTTGACCAAATAAAGGAGCGACAAATTTCATCAATTTTTCTGATCACAGCCTTTGGAAGGGGAAAGCACATCATCCAGAAGTTAGTAATGGCAAAAGAAATACTTTTGACAAGTTGAATCTTCCCTGCATAGCTAAGGAATTTAATAGACCAATTGCTAATCCTAGAAAGAATTCTATCCACCAATATCATATAATGATTATACCCTAATTTTTTGCACGTAAGGGAAACTCCAAGGTACTTAAAAGGAAGACACCACTCTTTGAACTTGGACCAACACAAAATCTGATTCTTAGTACTAGACTCAACATCACCAAAAAAGATCTTACTCTTACTAGTGTTTATCTTCATACCTGTGGAATTGGAGAATTTGTAGAAGGCATTGAGAAGAAGCTCAACAGACACAAAATCTCCTCTAGAGAACAAAAGGACATCATCAGCAAACATTAAATTTGTCAATTGCAATTTCTCACACTTCGAATGATGATTGAAATTGGAATCATGTTACATAACAAGCAGACATCTATGGAGATATTCCATTATAAAGGAAAAGAGAAATAGGGATATTGGACCCCCTTGATGAATTCCCCTCTTGGAAAGCAAAAGATCAGATGCAGAACCATTCACAGAGAATTTATAGGAAACACTGGTAACAACAGTCATAATCTAACTAATAAAAAGATGAGGAATGCCAAGCTCTTGCATAATTTGCTCCAGGGCCTTCCAGCTCACCATATCATATGCTTTTTGCATATCTAATTGAATCATAACTCTAGGGGGACCCTCTTTCCTACTATAACCCTTTATAAGCTCATAGGCAAGTATAATATGATGGTAAATTTGCTGGCCAGGAACGAAAGCAGCCTGGTTAGGACTGATAATACTCCTTATAACTCTACTCAACCTTGCAGTCAATATCTTTGAGATAATTTTGTATATTGTAGTACACACAGAAATTGGCCTGAAATCTTTAACAGAAGTAGCAAAATATGTTTTAGGAATAAAAGACACCAATGTACAGTTAAAGGCTTTGTACAACTTACCTCGAGCAAAGAAATCATTGACAATTGCTTTAAGATCAGCTTTAACAATGTCCCAACTAGCCTTGAAAAATTTAGCAGTATAGTCATCTAAACCAGGAGCTGATATATCTTTAATACCTTTAAGAGCCTCAAAAATCTCATCATCAGAAACATGAGCCACAAGAAGCTTTATTTGCTCATTTTGAAGCTGAGGACCTTTCCTCCTAACTCTAATATCTATACAGTCCATGACCTCATCATTTTTTTCATTAAGATTCCCATAAAAATTAAGAACTTCATCTTCAATTTGCTCTTGAGATACGTGTATTTGTTTTTAAAATATAATAAGAATGTAAAAAAGAGAAATAAAATTATTTTACTAAAAAAGTTTATTATTTTTAAAAGAAGTTATTTTATCAAAATAGTATTTGAAAATATTATTTTAATTATATAAATAAATGTTAATAACACAAATAAATATATTTTGTCGGTGTTTGGATTCATATATTATTTAAAATATTTTTATTTTTATTTTATTTAATTTTATAAATTGTATAAAAATGTAATAATTTGTGGAATTGCACGGATTTTGATATATAAAAAATATTTGAATTAACAATATTATTTTTTATATAAATTTTTTATTTTTTTTATATTGTTTACAAAAACAATTAAATCAATAATAAATTTATTTTCATTATTTTTTTTATTTTTGATCAATAATCTCATTTCCCCATTTCATATAATTTCACCCATTTGATTTTCAAATTTAATAAAAATGAAATGATAAAAAGAAAAAATTGTTTTATTAAAAAAGTTTTTTTTATTTTTAAAAGAGATAATAAGCGGGTGCCTATAATATTTCCATATATAAAAAAATATTTGAATCAATAATAAACTTGTTCACGTTATTATATAAGTATCTTATCGATAACTTCATTTTCCCCGTTGCATGTAATTTTGATATTAGGGAAAAATGAAATTTATAAAAAAATTAAATAAATATAACTTTCATGTTTGAATCAATAATTATATATTAGTTTTATTTTTTCTGATCATAAAATGATTAAAAATATTTTATATTATCATACAATTTTGATATTATTTCATTCATATATTACTTATATATTTATTCTAGATCACAATATTATACTTTATAATCTTATCAATTTTATATTATAATACATTATATTTCATAATCTTTAATTTTTAAATGTATTTCACCCGTCTTATTTTATTCCATATATAAAACATTTTGAATTAATAGTATAATTATTCATATATATAAATATTTTTATTTTGAAATTATTTATAAAAATATTTAAATCAACATTAAAATTATTCATGTTATTATTCAATATTTAACTAAATGCATTAATATAAGTATCATACGTGTGTATCATATCAGTACTCGTGTATTTGTACGGATAATGGTGTGGTGCACACACTTTTATTTTCAAATGTAATAAAAATAAAATAAGTAAAAGATTAAATTATATAAC